CAGAAAGAACAAGTAGGACCCCAGACACAAAGTAACAGGTATATTATTTGAGAGGGGGAGAGGTGATGTGGAACCAAGACTGAAGCATAGTATAGGGGAAAGAGGTCTGGTTTTGGATTCAAATCCTATCTCTGCTGCTGTGTGACCCTGGGCAAACTACTTCATTCCTCTTGGTCTCAGTTTCTTAGTCTATAAAATGGAAGGTGTCAAAGACTCAGTTGATTTCTGAATTCTTAAATCCTATGATGATAAGGCTTCAGTTACTGTGACTGAAGCATAGATGGCAGCTTGGTCAGAGGGGGACGGGACAATTCAACTGAATTCAAGAAACCTTGATCAGGCATCTGCTGCATGTAGACTCCTGTGCTCACCATTGGCGAAATACTCTTTAAATAAAACCAGGTAAATGTTATATGGGATGGCTCTCTGGGGGGGAAATTTAAGCTATGTAGAAACAAAATATATCAATAAAATTTATTTTTAAAAAACTGAGGTGTCTGCCTTCCTAGTCTAATAGGAGGTTAAGACACAAGGACACAATGTTGTGGGTTAAATGCATTAACAGCACAAACAAAAGGTCAAGGAAGGTCTGAGAGGAATGGTCATAACAGATGGTGGGCTTCAAGGAAGGCTTCCTGGAGGAGAAGGCATTTGGCATCAGTTTTAAAGAATAAATAGGAAATTAGCAGGCAGAGAGAAGAAGGTGTTAGATGTACAGGGAACAGCATGAACACAGCACATGAACAATAGCACAGACGTGGGCAGAATCGAGGAAGGGAGGGTGGATGTTAGTGTGGGGGGAGTGTAGCAGGCATGAAGGGGATAGTGTGGGCTAAAGTGAGAAGGGCAGGTGGGAGCCAGGCTAGGGAGGCACCTACATGGCAGAGGCCTTAGAACTTTCCTCAGCTGACGAAAGAGAGCCACAAAAAGATTTTGAGCAGAAGGGTGACGTGGGCAGACTTTTATAGAAGGGACATCATCATGGCAATGTGCAAAGGATGGACTGAGGTGGGACAGAGTAGAGGCAGAAGATCCCTTTAGGAGACAACCCAAATAGTCTAAACGGGTAGCAAAGGGAGCCTAGACTAGGGAAATGGCAGAGGGGATAAAGAGGAGAGGGGTATGGAGTTAGAATCCGTTGCACAACAGCCCATTTGCTAGAACTGGGTACAGGGTGAGTGCAGGAACTGCAGCTGCCAGGCTGAGCTGAGCCAAGCTAAGAAGCCAGAGGTCCTTCTTGCTCCCCTGCTCAGGGTCTGGCTCTGGTGGGGGGAGGGGGACTCAGCCTGCAGGTGGGATTCAACCTAGTGCCTCATAACTCTCTCTGTTTCTCATAACTTTCCAGGAAGAGTGGCAGATTGGTCATCCTACTCACTGTAAGTGAGATGTTGAAATCATCCCTTTTCAATCAGAAATAAGAACTCTAAAATATGTGTGTTGCCAGAGCAACCAAAGATGTGTATTTTAGCAATAAGGGAAATACTTACCTCAAAACTTTGCCTGGGAGGTACAGGAATTATCATCCCATTCAGTCATAACTATTCTGAGGCTAACTCAGTTAGGAAGTAGGGGTTGATATGAAGAAGGGGCAGCCACCGTGATAGCTAATAATTATAGCTAACATTCCATAGTGCTTACTATGTGCCAGCCACTAGAGTCTAGCCCTCATCTCCTTGAGTTCTGTTTGTTGTTAGGAGTAAGCAGAATGGGAAGAGGCAGCACTTTGATGGGATCCTGGGAGTAGGTGGGAGAGGGAAATGTGTGGAAATTCAAGCAGAGGACTAAGAGGTCCTTTGGAGGGGTGGGGGTAGCATGGTGGTCACCATGAAAGCAAACCTGCCCTGCCTAGTCAACACACAGGGGCAAAGAGCTGTTCTTTCATTAGTTGTGACTTTTCAGCTGAGGAAACTGAGGCTCAGAGAGATGTGGTAACTTACTATAGGTCCCCTAGCTAATAAACTGGGAATTGATTCCCCTCAGCATGGCATGGTGGAAAGAGTGCTGGACTGGAAATCAGAATTCAATTGAATTCAGTTAACATTGATTTTTTTCTAGCTAACATTTATTCAGCACTTATTATCTGCAAGGCAGATTGAAGGCATTGGGTTTTAATCCTGGCTGACTTCTTACTAGCTGTGTGACCTTGGGCCAAGGCACATCTCTCTGAGTCTCAGTTTCCTCATTTGTAAAATGAGACAGGTAGACTAGATGATGTCAAAGACACTTCAGATTCTAGATCACATAAACTGTGAACCAAGAACAAGCCCAGTGTTCCCTCCTTTTATCTCTGTCATTTTCAATTATCTGAGCCTGAACTTAGTGGGACCTAATCCATTACCTCCTTTACAGGATTTTTATGAGAAAAGTGTTTTGTAAACCATAGAGCTGGGAGCTGCAATACCAAGCATTACCCTATGCCAGTCACCTGGTGGCAGCTATCCAAGGTGCTGGCATAGTAGCTGAGGAGTTCATTCATCCTTGCTGGGCTTACCTTGCCTGCTCCCTTACCCTAATACAATGATGGAAATATTGGAGGAGGGAAGGCAATTAGACAGATAGGTAGACTAGCACTGGATAGATGAGATGAGAGTGACTGCATGGATTCCAGCCTGGGTCCTAGACCCTCCTGCCTTTCCCTGAACTCTTCCTTGGCACCTGTCCCAGATGAAGGAGAAGGGATGGGCGTAGGAGGGTGGGGATTAAAGGAGTTCTGGGGAAGAGTCCCCGCGTCTAATAACAGTTTTAATCTTTCCCATCTTTCACTCCTTTTCCATCACCTCATAACCACTCCCCAACCTTCTCCCTCTCTATTCTTTCCCTTCTCCTATCCTTTCTCCATTTCTCTCCTTTATTCTCTGAATCATCCCTTCCCTTCTCCCCATCCTTCTCATCTCCTTCCCGATCCTTTTTTCTCATTCTTCCCCTCTCTTCTACCCTTCCTTTGTTCCTATCATCTTCCCTTCATTCTCACATTCCTATCTCCCCTCCCTTCTTCCCAAACCTTCTCCCCATCCTCCCCTCCTTTCTTCCCATGCTACTCATCCTCCCCACTCTCTTCTTTCTTCCCTCCCCACTGCCCCATGCTTCCAGGAGACAATCCCTAGGATTGAAGCAGCCCCAGGAGCTGCTGCCTTCCAGGGAACAATGGGACCTTTGAAGGGGGGGTTGCCCCCTCCACCATTGTGCTTGGTGGCGAGAGGTGGCCCCGGGTCAGGCCAGGCTCCTGCCTCTGCCCTTAGCACCAGTACCAGCACCAGCCCAGAAGGACAAAGAACTGCCAGGAGAGCCAGGCAAGCCAGGCAAGCCAGGCCCGGTGCTGTGTGGAAGGGCAGTCCCTCGTGACTCCGTGTTTTCTTTTCTAGAAAAGGTAGGATTTTGCAGGGGAAGGAATCTCTCCTGGCACTGGGGGAAGGGGGCTCCAAATTATTTTCCGTTTTACTTATCTGTGCACCAGTGGTATCACCAAGGGAATATAAACTCCTTGAGGACAGGGACTCATTTTTTTGTTTTTATGTTCTCAGTATCCTGTCCACTATAGGTGTTAAATATCTATTTATTGAGTTCAGGTCCCTTCCAACTCCAACATTTTATGCTCCATATTTTTATTCTAAGGTTCCTTCCAGTCTAGAACTCTGCTTTCCTTGTTCTAAGCTCCTGTCCACCTCTAACATTCTCTGACTCTAAATGTGATTCCAAGTTTCTAGCACCTCTCTTTCCTGGGGAGTGAAGAGAAGAGATAACAGGGAGTGGTCAGGTGTGGACTACCCTCCCCCCCATGGGTCCACTTATTTGGATAGAGAGGATCCCACCCAGTTAGAGATAACTTCTGAGTTTCTCCAAATCCTCCAAGTCCTTTCTTTTTCCCTTTTCTCTCCATCCCTCTCAAGGCAACTCAGGCTGTCTCACTGTTCCCAGCAGCTGGGGCCTCTCACATCTCTGCAGACCTCCAGGCCCTGAGACCATGTCAGTTTGAGGCAGAACCCATGACCCAAGTCCTCATACCTCCCATCCCCCAACCTGAGCCAAACCCCAGCTGTTCTGTGTCGGGATAAGGTCAGAGATTGACTCCATGCATCCAAGAACTGGGCTGGGGACATCCCCTTCCTGAGGACAGGCCAGGATTCTGGAGGATTTTTGAAAAAGACTAGGATGAGGGGTCTGGAAAGTGGTGGGGGGCAGGGGAGAGGATGAAGAAAATGTTGTCCTAGGGCCCTGGGTCCCTCTGGTATAATAGTCTGGTCAGTTCACACTCTTCTTCCACAGCCACAATGGGAAGGACTACTGCCCCTTTGTCCCCAAGTTCCTTTCCACATCTCAGGCAGGTAGGTCTCCTCCCCCTAGGGAGGTGGGAATGCTTAGTGATTGATTTCAAGAGCCCTAGAGAAGGGATGTCCTGCCCTTCCTTAAGTCTAACCTCAGACTCCTTGGCTTGGATTTGAGCTTCATTCACTTTCTGGGTCATTTCTGAGAGTTCTCGTTTCTCTAACTCTTAACAGTTTACAGTGTCCTTTCCTCACAGCAGACCTATGAGGTGTGTATTATGATCTCCACTTGCCAGTCGAGGGAACGGAGGGGAGGTGACTTTGTGGTAAGCAGCAGAGCTAGGAGGCCAAATCTGATGCCTTTTGCACTCCAGCACAACGCCTCCTCCCTGAGGTGGGAGATGGGAAAGGGGAGAGTTAGCTGGTGCTGATAGAGTATTTGGGAAAGACTGGGCCAGCACGGAGGAGAGCTTGCATTTACAAGGGAGGAGGTGGGGCAGAGAGGAAATGGAGAGGGTGGTCATCTGGGATGATTCAGAGCCAGGAAAGGAGACTGAGACACAAAGGACACCTTTCTCCCCAGGGGGAAGCAGGCAGACCCCTCCTGGCCATCTTAGGACGAGGCTTGGAGATGACTCACACATCTCATTCTTGACCCTCCCAAGGTCACAGGGGGTGGGAGTGGAGCCTTCCGGCCCAGCCTGGGCCCCGGCACCAGTTCCATGGGAGGAGGCCCTATGGTCAGGCCAGCAGCACAGAGACCCAGCAGCCAGCCCAGGCCCAGACCGGGGCAGGGGGGAGGCAGAACCACCTCATGGATTCTAAGTAGGTTCTTCTCATCTTTCTGAGCCCCCTCCCTTGGGTGGGGGGAGCCATTCAGTGGGGGTGGCTGCAGAAGGTGGGAGGTGCTATGGGGAAGGGAGTGAACTGGGAGAAAGCAGGGTCGGGAGCAAAGAGGGTCACCTTGGGATGGGGCTTCTCTTCACCTACTCGGGATGAGCATGCAAAGAATATCAGAGCCTGAGGGAGTCTTAGGATGTGGACCATAGAATGTCAGCTCTGGAAGGGACCTTAGAACATAGATCGATGAATGTCAGGGTTGGAAAGGATCTTAGAACTCAATTCAATTCAACAACCATATGTTGTCCACCTACTATGTATAAGTAGCTAGAACGTGTGCTAGAACATGGAATGTCAGAACTGGAAGGAACCTTAGAACACAGAACCTGGATCATCAGAGCTGAAAGTGCCTTTAGATATTATCTAGTACAGCACCCCACCCCCCACTACTGCCATTTTACTCAAAGAGGGAAATTAATTTGTCCAAATTCCCACATCAGAACACAGTATAATTGGGGGAAGCACAACATAAATGCCTTTGGCACACACAGCATGCGTGGGGGTATACAACAGCAGCCTCCGTAAGCAGGCTATTCATTCCCCCATTCTTTCAATCAATTCATTCAAGATGCCTATTTTTTTAATGACTGATATTTGCCAGGCCCTGCACCAGGTACGTGGCAAAGACATAGACCTCTCTAGAAGGATAGGGAAATTGTTGTTTGTTAGTCATTGTTTGGAAGGGAGATAGGCTGGGGAGAATGATATACAGATAGACAAATAAATAATATATAAAAGATAAATACAAAATCATTTCAGGGTAGGAGAGCAATAGGAGTCTGGAATGAATATGATCAGGAAAGGCCTCATGAAGGAAGGAAACAAGCATTTATTAAGTGCCTTCTATGTACCAGGTACTCTACAAATTTTATTTCATTTGATCCTCACAACAACCTTGTGAGTTCGGCGCTATTATTATCCTCATTTTAAGTTGAGGAACTAGAAGCGAAGTGACTTTTCCAGGGTCCCACAGCTAGTGAATGTCTGAGCCTGGATTTGAACTCAGGAATTGACCATAGGAGCAGCGCTCTATCCACTGTGCTACCCAGCTGCCTCCAAAGGGGCCCTTGCAGAGCGTCACCTCAGGTAGAAGGGTAGTATGGGGGCAGCCTGTGCAAAGGCAGAGAGATGGAATGTTGCTTTAAATAACAAACAAATGAGTTAGTAGTTTTCCCTAGAAGTAATTGGGAGCCATTGACCCTTCTTGAGTAGGAGATCACATGGTCAGAACTGTGTTTTTAGGAATGTCAGTTTGGTAACTGAGGAGTGAGACTGGAGGCAGGGAGGGCAATTAGGAGGCTATTACCATAGTCTAGGTAAGAGGCAATGGGAGCCTAAACTAGGATGGTGGCTGTGGGTGTGGAGAGAAGGGGATGGGGGAGATTGTGGTGTTTGATTCAACAACAAATGTCAACTGATGGACATGGGGGAGGAGAGGAAGGAAGAGGGCAAGTCAATGATGAATGAAACCTATGCGACAGGAAAGATTGTGGTCCCTTACACAGAAACAGGCAAGTCAGGAAAAGGGGTTTTGGAAGAAGGTTAATGAGCTCCATTTTGGACATCTGAATTTGAGGGGTCTATGGGTCATCCATATGGAGATGCCCAATAGGAAGTTGGTGATCTTGACCTGAATGTCAGGAAAGAGTTGAAGGCTGCATATGTAGGTTTAGAAGTCACCCACAAAAGGAAGATGATTCAACCTCATGGAAGATGATGAAATCATGAGAGAACATATATAGAGAGAAGAGAAGAGTGCCTAGGTCAGAGCCTTTGGGGAAGCCCATGGTTAGTGAGCATGACATGGATGATGAATCAGGTAAGGAGATGGAGAAGTCAGTCTGCTAGGCAGGCAGGTAGGAGGAGAGCACCTCCAGAAGGAAGGGGGTAGTAAAGTGTCAAAAGCCACGGGATGAGGGCTGAGAAAAGAGCATTTTGATCTAACACTTCAAAATCATTGGTAACCTTAAGAAGAGCGGTCTCAGTCAAGTGGTATAGTCAAAAGCCAGATTTAAGGGGGTAGAGAGGTGAGAGAGGAAAGAAAGTGTGAGCAAGGAGTACAGATGTGGGAATTTATTATTGCAAAATGGGAAAGAGATTTGGAAGGTTAGCTTGAGGGTATTACAAAGGTAAGTGAAGGTATATTAAGGATAATGGAGAGTTGGGCACATTTTGAAAGCAATAGAGAAGCCAATTGATCTAAAAAGATTGAAGATCGGAGAGAAAGGGGATGATCAAAGAGATAAAGTACCCTAGAAGGCAAAAAAGGGGTTGGATTCAGCTATGAGTAGGAAGGTTGTCCTTAGGGCCACCCCGTCCTCCAGGACTGAAGCAAAGATGGAGATAGTACTAGGATTGGGGATTAGGAATGGGAAAAGGGGGAAGGGAGTGATCGCATGGCTCTGCTAAGGGGGAGGGGGACAGAGTTTGTGTAGGTGGACAGAGAGAAGAGAATGCCTAAAACAGATGCTATAGGGAGTTAATTAGGGAGGAGTGAAAGAATGGCCATGCACCAGTGAGGGCCCAGTTGAAATTAGATAACGTAAATGTATAGTGAACCCAGGTCCCATGCTCTAGCAGCATTCAGAAACTCTCGAGTCTGTTTGTTTGGTTTTTTTCCTGGTCTATGTTTTCTTTTACAACATGACTAATATGGAAATATGTTTTGCATGATTACATATGTATAACCTATATCAAATTGCTTACCTTCTTAATGAGAGGGGTGGGGAGGAAGGGAGAGAATTTGGAACTCAAAAATTTAAAAACGAATGTTAAAAATTGTTTTTCCATGTAATTAGGGAACAAGAAAATACTAAATAAATTTTTTAAAAAAAAGAAGCTCTCAAATAGGAATAGAAAAAGAAAATGGTGAAGGCCCTCCAGGTCTGGGGTTTGGAAATGGATAGATAAGTGGCAATAGGCCCATCGCCAAGGGATTTTAGGGTAGAGGACAGTATAAAGTTGAACTAGTTAACTAGAAGGTCAATTGACAACGGAAAGTGAGGACAGAGGATGTGATGGACTATGAAAGCGGAGAGGGGCAGAAAAACTGGAGGTTGTCATGAGGATAAAAATTAAGTTTAGGGGGGTGGGTGGAAGATGGCGGTCTGAGAGATCTCAGAGCTCTGTATTGTGGAGGTATACACAGATGACTAATAGCCAGACACAGAACATATTATCAGAAGATTTAGAGCAGTGTAGGACCTTAGAAATCATCTAATCTTATTTGGAAATTGAGGTCTAGAGAAGTGCATATAGTCAAGGTAACTTGACTACAAAGAATCCAAGTCAAAAAATAAAATAAATAAATGAAAAAAAAAAGGAATAAGCTTTAGGAAGGGAAGGGAAAAGTTATATTGGGAAATGAAGGTGATATAAAAATAAAAGATACTGATAAAAATTTTTAATTAAAAAAAAGAATGCAAGCTAAAAAAAAATCCAAATCCAGGATTTGAACCCAGGTCTCCTGATTCCAAATTCAGTGCTGTTATTTGATAACAAGACGCAAACAATTAAAAACCAGGGAGGAGGCAGAATGCTATTCTCCAGACTTCCTGAGAGAGGAAAAAGAGATCCTAGGTCTGGGCCTGTAGTTCTTATGTTTGGAAACAACTTGGGGAGCCAGATGGAAGGATTTAACTCTCCCTCCCCCCTCTGTGTCTTTGTCTTCCCTCCATTCACAGGCTTCAGCTGCTCCCTTGGCTCTGTCTGCAGGTGGCTAAACATGAAATCAACCCAGACCGGTGGGGGAGGGAGAAAGGCTGCGGGAAGAGGGAAGACCATAACAACTCCCAGAAAGATAGACAGACAGATAGATAAATGGATGGGTAGATAGAGATAAATGGGTCAATGGATGGGCAGAGAGAAAGAAAGAGACGGGGACAGATAGGTAGAGGGTGAGAGATGGAGAGAGATGGAGGAAGAAAGAGAGAGAGAGAGAGAGAGAGAGAGGGAGAGAGGGAGAGAGGGAGGGAAAGAGGGAGAG